TACTTGCAGACGACGTGAGAGGCGTTGACCCAGGTAATCCCATAGATGTTCAATTGCCGATAAATCGGGTGACAGGGCTGGCCATGGAAGCAGAGGCACATTATTGTTCGCTAGGTACTGTGTTGAAACACGTGCTGTGTGCGCTCTTGCATTATCTTGCTGGAAGGTGTGCATATCCTGGTGCTGATGAAAGAATGGGATGACGTCATTTGCCAATATGTTATTCCTGTAGTAAAGGGCATTAACTCTTCCACGATAAACACGGAGCTCTGTTCGATGGTTATGACTGATGCCGCCCCACACCATGACACCCCCCATCGATCTGTCTGTACAACGCAGTCATTGTGGTAACGTTCTCCACGTCGACGCCACACTCGCAGTCGACCGTCAGCATTCCGTAAATGAAAACGGGACTCATCAGAGAACAGCACACCATGCCACTGCCGCAATCTCCAATGGCGATGCCTTTTGGCCCAACGCAGACGTTCATTTCGATGTTTATCAGTGAGTACGTGTCCAACATATGGGCGTCGAGCACGTAGCCCTGCTGAGCGAAGACGTCGACGTACAGTGTCAGTGCTGATCAAACCCCGTCGGCCTTGTACGGTTGCTGCAGTTCTGGTAGCCAGAAGTGTACGATCACGAAGATGCCGCGAACAATATGGCGATCCTGACGTGGTGTAATTACACGACGTTGACCCGGACGTGGTCGATCTCTGGTGGTTCTTGTCTGCTGGTATCTGTTCATTAGCCTGAGGACTGTTGAATGATGGCATTGAAACCGTTGTGCAACGACTCTACTTGACGTACCAACTTGAAGCATGCCCAAGGCACGTTTACGTTCACGTTCCACTACTGTTAATCTTGGCATTTCTTGTGTCAGTACCCTTTACGTCTGCAGCAACAAGTGATGTGGCTTTCAAAAGTCTGTTTTTTATAGCCCTATTCTGCATGCTTCCCGTGAAACAAAACACGTTTTCCATGATGTGCACGCAATTTGTTGCGTTTTGGCGATGTCGCTCACAAAAATTTAGGAATGTGTTTTGACGAGCTGTTCTTCATCATGCTTCGTCCAGAACGTCATATATTACTCATTCACTTATATATGTTCATATGACTTAAGCCCGGATAAAAATACATCCATTTTCATGGTGGTGCGTTTTCAATGCTGTTCAGTATACTTTATGACGTCACGTAACAATGGCTTTGACGTCATTATGACAATGGCTGATGGAAGTAGAGCTTCTTAGCCAGGCAGTGTTTTCTGGATGTTTCCTCGTGTAGAATGATATTGGGTGATAAATAAAATCTCACTCAAGTGTCTTTTGATATCAAATATATCACCACGAGTTGATAAAAGTGAAACAACTCAGAGACTTGATCACACAAGATGAGGAGAGCGACATCAACCAGCTTTGACCAAGTTTTTTTTCAGTGTGCGTTCACTTATCAAAATCTTGTCAGAAAATGAGCCAGAAAATATAGAATGTCTTTATTCCTCAAACCTAAACATACGTATGTTCGAATGATGTTAACACACCTCTCCATAGTTTGAGGTTAATAGGTTTCCAAGATAGCTGTTGACTATTTAAAGCATTTAAGTGGAAATTTCCAGATACTAATTGGAAATTTCCAGTTAGTAAGTGAAAATTTCCAGATACTAAGTGAAATTTTCCAGATACTAAGTGGAATTTTCCATATATTAAGTGGAAATTTCCAGATACTAAGTGGAAACTTCCAGTTAAAATGGATATGAATTTTTTTGGGACATGGCCCTAAAAGGCTTCCGTACAATATAATTTGTTCTTATTTACTGTGGAATCTACGGAAGCCTTTTAGGGCCATTTGAAAAAAATTAAAAAATCGATTTTTCGATACTATCTTGAAATTTCAGGATACTAAGTTGAAATTTTAAGATACTATCTTGAAATTCAAGATACAGAAGTTGAAATTTCAAGATATTAAGTTGAAATTTCAAGATAATAAGTTGAAATTTCAAGATAATAAGTTGAAATAAGTTGAAATTTCAAGATACAATCTTGAAATTTCAAGAAACAGAAGTTGAATTTTCAAGATATTATGTTGATATTTCAAGATTATTCACTTCAAACGTATTTTTACATCTTAGGATGTAGACTAATTATTTTCGTGAAATTTCAACTTAGTATCTTGAAATTTCATCTTCTGTATCTTGAAATTTGAAGATAGTATCTTGAAATTTCAACTTAGTTTCTTGAAATTTCAAGATAGTATCTTGAAATTTCAACTTAGTATTCAAATTGAAATTTCAAGATAATATCGGAAAAACTTGGCCCTAAAAGGCTTCCGTATGAATCTGTTCCAGCAGAAAATTGAAACAAGATTACTGTGTGGCGTCGACGTTTAGAATTTGATGTGAATCTTTCCACGTGACTTTGCAAGCATGGGTTGCTAAAGACCTATTCTACCCCGGAATCTTCACGGGAAGATTATTTACAGACCGCCGTCATATAGCTGGAATATTGCTGAGTGCGGCGTAAAACAGCAAACCAACCAACCAACCAACCAACAAATAATCGAGTCTGGACCAGGCAATTCAGTGATTGATATCATGAGCACCCACGCAATTTGATGTGTATCTTTACCAAAGTTTATATTGTCGGAATATTTTAATGGACTCAAATTTTAGCAAAGGTTTCTTGCGATTATGTACATGGTTGTGTTGCTTTATTTACATTACAAAGTAGATGAAGTAAATCGTTAAGACAATCCTCGACGCAGTTTCCAAATTGTGTATGGACACTCTTCACCCGACGCCAGTGTGACATGACGAGAACCGTGCCTCTCACGGCAATTATCTATCTACAGCTGTTGTGCAGAAAGAATTGAAAAACCATAATTATATAGGATAAGCTTTACAGTCGTAATAGAGACATAATATATATGCTAATGTATAATGATTTGTATATTTTTTTGCCTTGATGATACTGTCAGGTATCAGTTTGCATTCACATCATGCTTGTCGTAAGAGGCCTTGTTTAACGCCACACTCAGCAATACTCCAGCTATATGACGGCGGTCTGTAAACAATCAAGTCTGGACCAGACAATCCAGTGATAACGGCAAGCATAGTCACCTTTAACTGCAAGCATGGATTGCGGAAGACCAATTCTACCCCGGATCTTCAGGGGTCCATATATTTAATAGACATGCACAAATCCACGTGTTTATTAGGTTCAATGATTATTCTTGTATTACACAATGTAAAATTTCTTTTTTAACTGTTTATGATGTGATGGTCGGCTGTAAGAGGAACCGACAAAAACGAATCCTAATCCGTCATATCTGTCAGACAGTTCATCTCACAGCCGACCGTCCCATCAGGTTACCATCATTTCATCAACTAGAATCACACATGCTGAAATCAAGACGTTGTTCTCTCGGGGTTCGTCCCTTATCTTCATCCCGTTTGGTGTTTTTTTTTTTTCGTTGTTTAACGCCGCACTCAGCGATATTCCAGCTACATGACGGCATGGGGCGGTCGGGTAGTTTAGTGGTTAAAGCGTTCGTTCGTCACGCCGAAGACCCGGGTTCGATTCCCGGCATGGGTACAATGTGTAAAGCCTATTTCTGGTGTCCCCCGCCGTGATTTGATGGAATATTGCTAAAGGCAGCATAAAAACCATACACACACTCGCTAAGTGACGGCGGTCTACAAATAATCGAACCCGTGAAGATCCGGGGTAGAATAGGTCTTCAGCAACCCATGCTTGCCGTAAAAGGAGACTAAGCTTGTCGTAAAAGGCGACTAACGGGATCGGGTGTTCAGGCTCGCTGACTTGGTTGATGCATGTCATCGATCCCAGACCCGTGAAGATTCCGGGGTAGAATAGGTCTTCAGCAACCCATGCTTGCCGTAAAAGGTGACTATGCTTTTCATAAAAGGCGACTAACGGGATCGGATGGTCAGGCTCGCTGACTTGGTTGATGCATGTCATCGATCCCAATTATGTGGATCGATGCTCATGATATTAATCACTGGATTGTCTCGTTCAGACTCGATTATTTACACACTGCCATCATATAGCATGAATATTGATGAGTGCGGCGTTAAACAACAAACCAACCAAGACTTGGTTGATGCATGTCATCGTATCGCAATTGCAAGGATCGATTCTTAGGATGTAAATGCCCGGATTGTCTGGTCCAGACCCGATTAATTACAGACGACCGTTCGTAGCTGGAATATTGCTGAGTGCGGCGTTAAACAACAAACAACAAGAACAACCGTCATCTCAGATCAGCTTCAGCCAAACCCCACCCACCAGATCAAGTGGACCGCCCTGGTCTCCAACATCAAGATGATAACTATTAGACCATTTGACCATATATGCATTGGGTCATAATACACCTTAACTGTACGAATCGTTTTGATATAGAAAATGACAATCATTATAACAGCGTGTAACTCAAGATTGAATTATAACAAATGGACAATGATATGAGAACGTTTTACATATTGAATCATAGTGCTTGAAGTAACAGACGGCACCACTTACCTTTTATAATAAATACTCTGTGTTAGCAATATTGATATGTGTAAAACCGTTCGCTGTATCACGTCATATGCAATTTCACAGTGGTGGGTTGTATGTTTCATGCATCTGCAGACCCGTGAAGATTCCGGGGTAGAATAGGTCTTCAGCAACACGTACTTGCCGTAAAAGGCGACTATGCTTGTCGTAAGAGGCGACTAACGGGATCGGGTGGTCAGGCTCGCTGACTTGGTTGATGCATGTCATCGATCCCAATTGCGCGGATCGATGCTCATGACATTAATCACTGGATTGTCTGGTCCAGACTCGATTATTTACAGACCGCCGTCATATAGCTGGAATATTGCTGAGTGCGGCGTTAAACAACAAACCAACCAATCATGCATCTGCATCACGTTCATGTCTGAATCAAATTCTTTCTGATGATGGAGATATATCTGCATAATCACTGTAACTGACACGATAATGCGACTGTGGCTCGAATTGTTTTCTCTGTTTAACAACTGATTTCTGGAGAGGATACACGGAGATACGTGTTGGTTAGTATTTTGTCGTTAAATAACTATACATAAAGAAAGGTTGGAATAATGCACGTCGATGTCCACATCTTGATAATGGGTCAACCTTAGCTTTAAGAAATCACTTTTTGTGTTATTTCTTCTCTGTAAAATTTATGATGGAGTTACAATTTAACGTGGAATCGTTAGTATATCGATCTAGTCATGAAGGGATTTCGATCCTTTTGGATGTGAGGGTGTATATCATGTAGAAGGAAATGTACACGTTTCAGTTATAACTAAATATTGTCCACTTGATTTTATTCAGACAAAGAAAATTTCATATATGATAGTTGTTTTGCTCTTCTGAAGTTATTACTGATAACACGAGTAGTTTGTTACTGGCTGTATCCTCAAAGGGGGTTGACGTAGTGTGAAATTATTGTCCCCATAAGAGGATATCGTAAGTCCATGATAGAATCCGGGGTAGAATAGGTCTTCAGCAACCAATGCTTGCCGTAAAAGGCGACTATGCTTGTCCCTCTATCGGCATCGGGTGGTCAGGATCGCTGATCCATGCATGTCATCGATCCAAATTGCGCGGATCGATGCTCATGATATTGATCACTGAATTGTCTGGTCCAGACTCGATTATTTATAGACCGCCGTCATATAGCTGGAATATTGCACGAATAAAAGTTTGCATGCTTAGAGATACTTGTCAAGACTAAGTTCGAAAATTGGTCCCTTCATTCATATTTTAGGAGTTGTGTCCCTTGTTCCGTGCTTTTCAACTTAATGCAAGTTACATGAATGAAAGTGTGCATGCTTATCTGAGAGATTCTTGTGAAAATTGAGTTGTCGAAAATTGGCCCCTTCAGTCGTTGTTTTACAGAGTTATGTCCCTTGCTACGTGCTTTTCAACTGACTGCAAGTTACATGAACGAAAGTTCGCATGCTTATCTGAGAGGTACTTGTCAAGACTGAGTTCAAAAGTTTGCCCCGTAAATTATTTTTAATAAAGAGTTAAGGCTCTGGATGCATTTGTTTATAGCCCGTGAAGAGTCGGGTTAGATTAACTTGCTGTAAAAGGCGACAATATTTGTAGGAGGCAACTAACGGGATCGGATGGTCATGGTCGCTGACTTGGTTGATGCATGTCATCGATCCAACTTATGTGGATTTATGCTTATGGTGCCAATCACTGGATTGTTTGGTCCAGACTCGATTATTTACAGACCGCCGTCAAATAGCAGGAATATTGCTGAGTGCGGCGTTTTACAACAAACAAACAATCATAAACTTCCGCAAAAGTCTTGAGTCGTTCATTTAAAAAACTGTTGTCATCAACTTTCCAAATACATCCATCAGCGTTATTCCTGACATCATATATTATCTTTCTTATGCAGAGGAACTACTATACTCTCAACAACAACAAACAAACAAACAAACACATATACACGCAATGGTTTTAATAGCTGTTTGTTATACGACAGAAATGGATCACGAGACTTGGAGTTCCCACCTGGACTATTTGCTGACCATTCTTGGATACTCGGTAGGGGTGGGAAGCTTGTGGAAATTCCCGTACATGTGTATGAGAAATGGCGGAGGTTGGTATTTAATAAACTCAGACCTTGTCGTAAAGAAATTATATTAAAGACACTAAATGTTCAGTTTGTTTTAATAGTTGTCCAGTGGATTCTTAAAATTGCGTTTCTGAATCTATTGAAGGTTTGACGTACTGTATTTATGTTTTTGAAATATTGCCTTGAAGGGGCAATGCTGTTACTATACTTCGTGTTCACGATTATCTGCGCAATTCCCTGTGTGTTTCTGGAGATGGTGATTGGTCAGTTCTCTCAGAGTGGACCAATCAAAGTCTGGAACCTGTGTCCACCTTTCAAAGGTACTGCATGTACGCAAACGTTAACGGTTAATACATGTCAACGTGTCAACTGATCTTAGTGTCCCAATAGTGCGTATGATATTGCGGGGGCGTGTTAATATATATATTCATTCACCCACCCACCCACCAACCAACCCGCTCACTCACTCACTCAGAATACCTTTAGAACGCTATGCGGCTCTACATCCCTGTGAAACCGGGGTAGAATATATCTTCAGCAGACCATTCTTGCCGTAAAAGGCGACTATGCTTGTCGTGAGAGGCGACTAACGGGATCGGGTGGTCAGATTCGCTGACTTGGTTGATGCATGTCGTATCCAATTTGCGTGGATCGATGCTCATGATATCAACTACTGGATTGTCTGGTCCAGCTAGATTTTTTACAGACCGCCGTCAAATAGCTGAGTGTGAAGTTAAACAACAAATAAACAAAAGCATTATGGACACAATATATTAGGAAAAACGATCATACACACATAGTCATATTACACCATGTGTCACAAGGATACAGGCAAGAGCGAATAAACTCTATCTATTATCCAGGTATCGGAATGGGGCAAGTCCTCATTAACGTGCTCTACAGCGCTTTCTATTCTGCTCTGCTTGCCTGGATTTGCTACTACTTCTACTACTCATTCTCTCCAAATATACCCTGGACTCATTGTGACAATCCATGGAACTCGCAGTCGTGTATATCTAACAACATCAACGTCGACGATGATTCAGTTGCCGTAAACAATGCAACAAGGGTCATTCACAACTCTTCTGTCTCTGCTAATGAGACAATGCATTTGAAAGGGATGACGTCGGCTGAAGAATTCTGGAAGTGAGAGGGATATTTCATTTTGTACTAATGTAAAGTATAATCTGGATTATTTGAAAGAAGATCGCTTATCATAAACCTAAGAGTTAAGTAAAACCATGTGAAAATAGAGGTGATTTGACACACTGGAAACGTGAATCTATATGACAAAAAGACTATTTCATACAATTGTCAAATTGGACTATATCATGTCTCGTGAAGTCTGAAGCTTCACATAGGCCGTGCTCGTGGGTTTCAACGAAGTGGTAAACGCCTGAGACCTGCAACACTTCGGGCTTTCCTCCCACATTAAGCTGACACGCCGCGATATAACTGGAATATTGTTAAAAGTGGCGTTAAACCCAACTCACTCACTTACCCAAACGGAATCTTTATTTTATTTACACAGATTCCGGGTTTTGGAGATTACTGACGGTCTGGAACATCTCGGTCACATACGGTGGCCTATATGTGGGTGTCTGGTTATCATGTATGTCCTGGTGTTCTTATTACTGTCTCAAGGGATCAAGGTTTCTGGAAAGGTAAATGAATCAACATACATCATTGCCTCAATCACCTTCTAACCATTGGGCACGAACAATTTGGGGATACATTAAATGACTCTTTTCACGAAATAGACTAAGTCTTTTAACGTGAACATGGCTATTTTATACAAAAGTCTTGTGAATGTCCACAATGTTCATAAACCTTCAGCAACCCATTCTTGCCGTAAAAGGTGACTATGTTTGTCGTAAAAGGCGACTTGGTTGATGCATGTCATCGATCCCAATTGCATGGATCGATGTTCATGATATCAATCACTGGATGGTCTGGTCCAGACTCGATTATTTACAGACCGCTGTCATATAGCTGGAATATTGCTGTGTGCGGCGTTAAACAACAAACAAACAAACAAAAGTCATAAACCGTCAATGTCTTACATTGAAAAACAACACAGATTATATGATAAAAGTATTGGACACTTGTGTTAAGGTCTGTTTTCATGGGAACAGGTGGTGTATGTCACAGTGGGTATTCCTTACATTCTCATCACAATTCTCCTCATCAAAGGCTGTCTACTTCCGGGCTCAGCTGATGGGATATACTTCTTCATTTACCCACACTTTGAGAGGCTGTTGGAACCTGAGGTGACGGTCATGTTGAAGGATGTATTTGTATGTGAATTGATCTGACCCCTTCATAAACATAAGATAAACATGAGATCGTACGGTTGAACTGAAGCATCATGTACGCGACTTTCCACCCGTGCTCCCTCACAGTAAAGAGTGAGCAGAGTTTTGATGGGTGGATACAAGAGAAGTTGTTGAAAATTATGGTAGATAATGCATTACTTATCCCAACATGACTCGTTTCGTACTCGGTATTTTCTCATATGCCGAAAATGCTTGGGACATCAGAAATTTGCTTCACAAAGTGAACCCATGTAATGAATCGAACGAGCGCTTTAACAACTAGGCTACTCCAATGTCCCCACTGTTATACGACCGACTCCGTGGTCTAGTGGTAGAGCGTCCGCCCAGAGAGCGGAAGGTTCGGGGTTCGATCCCTGGCCGCGTCATACCAAAAGACGTTAAAAGATGGTACTTGTTGTTACCCTGTCTGGCGCTCGGCATAAGGGGCTAAAACAAGGACTGGTCGCCTCGGAGTCAGTATACTGTGTCTGAGTGGGGTATTCATGTTAAACTGCGGCATGGTATCTCAGTGGGCTAGCACTATAAATCGGCATCAGTCCGGACTAGTACCAGCAGCCACACAAACACACACAATTACACAGACACATTTGCATGCACGTCGCTATATAAGTGCAATAATCCTGGACGCGACGTTAAACCCCATTTCATCTCACCTCACCAACTGTTATACCATTGACTGTGTAATAAACGTTCATAGATACTCATTTAGAAACAGTCATAGTCATTTAGAAACAGTCATTGTTACAAGTATATATTTAACGGTTTTAACTCCTTATAAGTTTCCAATATTTTGTATGTGTCATGAAGGAATTAATTACATTTAATATATTTTCCGTTTCTTATTTTTGCGCTGAATACATGTTATAACTGGCATTCGGTGACTTATTTGATTGCATGTCATTATAACCGTCGCCTTGGCCCGATGCTCACAAGATCAATCACTGGTTTGTCAGGTCCAGACTTGACCATTGTGTAGGCCGCCGTCATACATCTGAAAATATTGCCAAGTGCGGTGTTTAAAAACAACGCAATAATTCCATTTGTAGATTTGGATTGAGGCCTGTAACCTGTCCTTGCTCTCAATCGGAACTGCGTTTGGATGTCTGATAACAATGGCTGGACACAACAAGATCAAGAACAATTGTTTCAGGTGGCTATCTTTATTGTTTGACTTCCTACATTCCTATTACAGTTAATGCCAGTTTGTTAAAGTTTAAATATAAAATGTCAATACCTGAGAATATCCAGCCTCGGTTATCCGCACATAAGCGGTCAAAATGATATAAATTAATACTGAAAACACTGATGACACCAGATGTTCGCGAAAAGGGTAAGCATGTCAATTACATAATAAATGAAATATTCAAATTCTTCATGACACATTATCAAATGTACAGAAATGAATCAATGTTCTCAAACAACACTTTATATAACAGGTTGGACTGAAGTGTGAACGTAATAGAATGTTATCTGTATGATTTCTTGTAAAATGTACACAACTGAAGTGTTTCTGTGGAGATTCCGAAAGTAATACCTCAAGATGTATAAAGTAATTCTCGAAATCCATTAGACACAAAACAACCAATATAACGACATGTGCCATAAATTACACGGAAGAATGTATGCATTGATTTGGATTTAACTTATAGTTAGTATATGGTTATGATTAATTTAGATTTCATCATACGTAATTGTCAATGTGACACTTGCCAATAAGCACGGTTATATTAGATTAACACAGATTATCATCAAACGTAGTATTTATAATTACATGCCCTTTAAAATGGTTAAATAAAGTGCAGACATTTTACAGAACTTGGCTATTCTGAACAATGACTATCAAGGGTATAAACACATCAACAAAATGATACATTTTATGCATTTATTAAGACCTATATCCAGAGACATAAGCTTTCTTTCCTCCCAGGGATGCTTTGAGTGTAGTTGCTGTTGATGCTTTGACATCTGTGTATATTGGGCTTGCCTTCTTCGCCATCATGGGTCACGTTGCCCACCTGCGTGGAGTGACTGTTGAGGCGTTTCAGTCATCAGGTAATGCTTTTTTTGTTTGGTTAGGAAGTTCATTGTTAATTCTCAGCACTCAGCAATATTCCTGATATGTGACGGCGGTCCAGACAATCAAGTGATTGCGGGGGAGGGGAGGGGGCACGGGTGGCCCAGTCGTCTAAGGCGCCGCGATTCGCTGTGCAGAGTTGCGTCCCTTGGGCACGCCAGAAACCTATGATCGTGGGTTCGAATCCCGGTTCACCCCGATTATGTTTCTAGGTTTGTCAGCACCATATCCGTGCTCGTGGGTTTCACCAAAGTTGAAAACGTCTGAGACCTGCATCACTTCGGGCTTTCCTCCCACATTAAGCTGACACGCCGCGATATAACTGGAATACTGTTAAAAAGCGGCGTTAAACCCAACTCACTCACTCACTCACTCACTCACTCACTCACTCATCAAGTGATTGCCATCATGATCATCAATCAACGCAATTGGGATATATTGGAATACGGAAAACATTGGTGTGACATGGCAATGTTAGAATATTGATATAGTGCAGTCACATGGCCATGTTGGAATATTAATGACACTGGTGTGACATGGCCATGTTGGAATATTGAAATAGCGCAGTAACATGGACATGTTGGAATATTGATATAGTGCAGTCACATGGCCATGTTGGAATATTGATGACACTGGTGTGACATGGCCATGTTGGAATATTGAAATAGCGCAGTAACATGGACATGTTGGAATATTGACATAGCGCAGTAACATGGCTATGTTGGAATATTGACATGGCGCAGTAACATGGCCATGTTGGAATATTGATATGGCAATGTTGGAATATTGATGATAGTGCAGTAACATGGCTTTCTTGGAATATTGACATAGCGCAGTAACATGGCTATGTTGGAATATTGACATAGCGCAGTAACATGGCCATGTTGGAATATTGATATGGCCATGTTGGAATATTGATGATAGTGCAGTAACATGGCCATGTTGGTATATTGATAGTACCCGTGAAGATCCAGGGTAGAATAGGTCTTCAGCAACCCATGCGTGCCGTAAAAGGCAACTATGCTTGATGGGTATCTTGGAATATTGATGATAGTGCAGTAACATGGCCATGTTGGAATATTGATATAGTGCAGTAACATGGCCATGTTGGAATATTGATATAGTGCAGTAACATGGCCATGTTGGAATATTGATATAGTGCAGTCACATGGCCATGTTGGAATATTGATATAGTGCAGTAACATGGCTATCTTGGAATATTGATGATAGTGCATTAACATGGACATGTTGGAATATTGATATAGTGCAGTAACATGGCCATGTTGGTATATTGATAGTACCCGTGAAGATCCAGGGTAGAATAGGTCTTCAGCAACCGATGCTTGCCGTAAAAGGCGACTATGCTTGTCGTAAAAGGCGACTAACGGGATCGGGTGGTCAGGCTCGCTGACCTTATTGATGCATGTCATCGATCCCAATTGCGTGGATCGATGCTCATGATATTTATCACTGGATTGTCCAGACTCGATTATTTACAGACCGCCGTCATATAGCTGAACTATTGCTGAGTGCGGCGTTAAACAACAAACCAACCAACCAACCAACGATAGTGCAGTAACATGGCCATGTTTGAATATTGATATAATGCAGTCACATGGCCATGTTGGAATATTGATATAATGCAGTCACATGGCCCTGTTGGAATATTGTTATATCGCAGTAACATGGCCATGTTGGAATATTGTTATAGTGCAGTAACATGTCTATGTTGGAATATTGATGATAGTTCAGTAACATGGCCATTTTGGACTATTGATATAGTGCAGTAACATGGCCATGTTGGAATATTGATATAATGCAGTCATATGGCCATGTTGGAATACTGTTATAGTGCAGTAACATGTCTATGTTGGAATATTGATATAGTGCAGTAACATGGCCATGTTGGAATTTTGATGACATGGCCATTTTGCTTTTTAGTTAACAGTGGTGAAACATAATGAGATGTCATAAGCAAACATGCTTGGTTTGGTTTTGGTTTGGTTTGTTGTTTTACGCCGCACCCAGCAATATTCCAGCTATATGAAAGCGGTCTGTAAATAATCGAGTCTTGACCAGACAATCCAGTGATTGACATCGTAAGCATCGTTCGACGCAATTGGGATCGATGCCATGCTTAACCACGTCAGCGAATCTGACTACTCGATCCCGTTAGTCGCCTCTTACGACAGCATAGTCGCCTGTTACCACAAGCATGGGTTGCTGAAGACCTAGTCTACCCCGGATCTGCACGGGTCTTGGAATCACATGCTAAAGCTATATGTGATATCATATTATCGCTTACAAAAACATGTCATGTCTTTAATACGTATGTCGCTGCTATGATAAACTGTTTACGGATGACTTGCAAAATAATGTTTACAATGTTTGGCACAAAATCAGGAATTATGTGTATAACATCAGTGAGACGTGTATTGTCATTCTTTTTCCCATTTGTTTAGGATTCAACCTTGGATTCATCGTGTACCCCGAAGCCGTGGCTTCACTCCCCTTACCTCAGCTGTGGTCATCCGTGACTTTTCTCATGCTGTTAACCCTCGGAATCGACTCGATGGTAACAAATAATTTCCGAATGAAATTCGAGGAATCTGTGAAAGAGCGTTGTCTCCTTAGTTCTGTGTGTTCTTGAAATGGGAAATCGCAAATCGGTAGTCGCAACACTGTCTCGTGGAATTCTGGGATAGAATTGGTATCCATTAACCTATATCAGCTATTTAGGCGATTAAATGGACTGGGTTAAATCGATTATTTAATGATGTACCCCAACGACTCATACTATCAAGAAGTGGTTTGTCTGGTACATACTCCATTAGTTACAGGTGAGGTGAGGTGAAATGGGGTTTAACGTCGCGTCAAAGATTATTGCACTTATATAGCGACGTGTATGTACGTGTATGTGTGTGTGGCTGCTTGTACTAGTCCGGACTGATGCCGATTTATAGTGCTCACTGAGATACCATGCCGCAGTTTAACATGAATACCCCACTCAGACACAGTAAGTATACTGACTCCGAGCCGACCAGTCCTTGTTTTAGCCCCTCAATGCCGAGCGCCAGACAGGGTTACAACAAGTACCATCTTTGAACGTCTTTTGGTATGACGCGGCCAGGGATCGAACCCCGAACCTTCCGCTCTCCGGGCGGACGCTCTACCATTAGACCACGGAGGCGGTTCATTAGTTACAGACGCCCTGATAAAGCTCAATTCTTATGAGCTGACATACTGACATGCAACAACAAACAACCATTAGGTGTAATATATGTTTATTATGGGACAGTCACTTCAGTGAAACTATTGTATAACATAGAGAAATCATTATTTGACGTATCAGTGACAAGAACGATGTCAAGTGCAATTCACCATTTTGGTTTGTACCATATGTTCCCGTGGTTTTCAGGTGAACAATTGCCTTGCCTCTGCATGTGTCAGGTACCGCCGGTGGGGCAGGATGCGCTCACCTTTTCGCCTGGTAGCATAACTATTTGATCAAGGTTCATAATTACATGCTCCCAGATTTAGCAGATATTTCCTGTGGCTTTTGTACGGGTTTTGTCCCTTTTAATAATATGTTTCCCTTCCATCCATGTACATGCAGGTTCCATGTCTTGAGATCGCCGTTACAGCTTTGTCAGATCAGTACCCCAGTCTAGCACGCCGACGGTGGCTGGTCATCGCCATGGTCCTTGTTCCATGCTCGTTATTTAGCCTCCTTTACATGACACAGGTGAATAGCATTACATTGTTATCTTTGATTTTCAGTGAACCATGGAGGTTATCACGCGAGTGAGTTTGGGGATGGTTAATATCCTGCATTAGGAATAAACATTGTATTGAGCGAGCCTTTGCGAGCGTGATAACCTCTTTATCACATATTGTCATTCTTTAATTCTGTGCTTTAAAATCGCTTTCCCCCTCTCACAAATATTACCGAAACATTGCGAGTTTTCCTGGAATGCGCGCATTAATATTTATAACGTCACAGGGTAAGTGATGTGTCATTTGGACAGTGACAGTAGCCAATATAGTCCCAACTGAAATTTGTTTCTTATACAGTGGCGAATCAACATATACGCAAAACAACAATTGTTGTTACTTGCCTTTCGCGGCAATCCATCGGTCTGTCTGCTAGTGTAACTGCCCTTTGTCAAAGGGAAGCTACTCTAACCCTATTTTGAGACATTACATGACACACATTTAGGTAAACACTTTCGATGTAAAGGCGTATTCTCAATACTATTACGCTCAGGGTGTTGCATTTGGTACCAATCTCCTTTTAATCTTTTCAGAACTGCAGTGGGTTTTACATATGACCATAATGATGATACATGTATGTGCTCATAAATTCTTAGCTTGATAGAGGAGGCCAAATATACATCTTGTCTTTCTGACAATCACGTGGCTTCTTAGCTGACGGTTTGTCTCGTATAATAAAGGCCGGAAATTTTTGTATTACAGGGCGGTATCTATGTTCTTACTTTGGTGGACTGGTATGCGTTTTTCCCCTCAATTGCAGTCTTTGGCATGTTGGAATGTTTTGTTGTCAGCTGGGTCTATGGTAAGAATGTTTTGTTTGCGGGAAGCTCTAAGATTTATCAATACACTTACTTTATCCCACGGTGCATATCTTGTGTGCACGGGAGCAAACTGAGTGAGTGACTGAGTATGGTTTTACGCCGCTTTTAGCAATATTGCAGCTATATCACGGCAGAGGACATCAGAAATGGGCATCACACATTGTACCCATGTCGGGATACGAACCCGGGTCTTCGGCGTGACGAGCGAATGCTTTAACCACTTGGCTACCCGACCGCCCCTGGGAGCAAACTGAATAAGCGAGTGCATTGTGTTGTGCAGAAAAGATGTATCTCACCTTGTAACCACCAAATCCACTTTTTGTTTCCTCATACACGAGCCACAATATTCAGATACATTCACTGACTCAAAGTCTTCGTTAACTGACCTGGCCCAACTGTAGCCCGTTTTTATTGTGCATTGTTATATTTTATGATTACATACTAGTTTTAATATGAATCTGTAATAGATTAGTTGTTAATGTCCTTTGTTGACAGGTTTCTATAAGTCTAAATGTATTTATTATTCATGCATATCTTCTTAGAGTCACGGCATGGTTCAATAGCTGCATGTTCATGCACGTGTGTGCGTTGCTGCTTGTACGAGTCAAGGCTAAAGTCTGTTTTCTTGTGCCAGCCCACTGAGATACAATGTCGCAGTCGCAGGGTAACAAGTACTAACTTTTTAAACGTCATTTGGTATGACCCAACCAGGGATCGAACCCCGACCTCCCCCTCTTTAGCGATATATTGGAGATACCAGGAGTCGAGTGTGTGTTGTAGGCACTCACAGACTGGAGAGGATTATCGACATGATGTGGGAGAAGACCTTTCCTCGGGTCATGACCTTTTGCCTAAAATACGTCTGTCCAGGACTCCTTTTGGTAGGTGACAGCAGCGATTCATGCCTGTGTTGGTATATAGGTGACACCGGTGTGACATGTCTGTGTTTGTATGTCAGTGACAGCAGTGTGACATGTCTGTGTTTGTATATAGGTGACACCGGTGGGACATGTCTGTGTTGGTAGATATGTGACAGCAGTGTGATATGTCTGTGTTGGTATATAGGTGACACCGGTGTGACATGTCTGTGTTTGTATGTCAGTGACTGCAGTGTGATATGTCTGTGTTGGTATATAGGTGACACCGGTGTGACATGTCTGTGTTGGTAGATATGTGACAGCAGTGTGATATGTCTGTGTTTGTATATAGGTGACAGCAGTGTGACATGTCTGTGTTGGTATATAGGTGACAGCAGTATGACATGTCTGTGTTGGTAGATATGTGACAGCAGTGTGATATGTCTGTGTTTGTATATAGGTGACAGCAGTGTGACATGTCTGTGTTTGTATATAGGTGACAGCAGTGTGACATGTCTGTGTTTGTATATAGGTGACAGCAGTGTGACATGTGTGTGTTGGTATATAGGTGACAGCGGTGTGACATGTCTGTGTTGGTATATAGGTGACAGCAGTGTGACATGTCTGTGTTTGTATATAGTCGACAGTAGTGTGACATGTCTGTGTTGGTATACAGGTGACACCGTTGTATCATGCCTGTGTTGGTAGATAGGTGACAGCAGTGTGACATGCCTGTGTTGGTAGATAGGTGACAGCAGCGTGACATGCCTGTGTTGGTAGATAGGTGACAGCGGCGATTCATGTCTGTGTTTGTATATAGGTGACAGCGGTGTGACATGTCTGTGTTGGTATATAGGTGACAGCAGTTTGACATGTCTGTGTTGGTATATATGTGACAGCAGTTTGACATGTCTGTGTTGGTATATAGGTGACAGCAGTTTGACATGCCTGTGTTGGTAGATAGGTGACAGCGGCGATTCATGTCTGTGTTTGTATATAGGTGACGGCGGTGTGACATGTCTGTGTTGGTATATAGGTGACAGCAGTTTGACATGTCTGTGTTGGTATATAGGTGACAGCAGTGTGACATGTCTGTGTTGGTATATAAGTGACAGCAGTGTGACATGTCTGTGTTGGTTTGTCAGTGACACTGGTGTGACATGTCTGTGTTGGTATATAGGTGACAGCAGTGTGACATGTCTGTGTTGGTATGTCAGTGACAGCAGTGTTACATGTCTGTGTTGGTACATAGGTGGCTGCAGTGTGACATGTCTGTGTTGGTTTATATGTGACACTGGTGTGACATGTCTGTGTTGACATATAGGTGACAGCAGTGTGACATGTCTGTGTTGGTATATATGTGACACTGGTGTGACATGTCTCTTTGACATATAGGTGACAGCAGTGTGAGGTGAGGTGAAATTGGGTTTAACGTCGCGTCCAAGATTATTGCACTTATATAGCGACGTGCATGCACGTGTATGTGTGTGTGTGGCTGCTTGTACTAGTCCGGACTGATGCCGATTTATAGTGCTAGCTCACTGAGATACCATGCCGCAGTTTAGCATGAATACCCCACTCAGACACAGTATACTGACTCCGAGCCGACCAGTCCTTGTTTTAGCCCCTTAATGCCGAGCGCCAGACAGGGTAACAACAAGTACAATCTTTTAACGTCTTTTTGTATGACGCGGCCCGGGATCGAACCCTGGACCTTCCGCTCTCCGGGCGAACGCTCTACCACAAGACCACGGAGGCGGTCGCCAGCAGTGGGGACATGTCTGTGATTGTATATATGTGACACTGGTGTGACATGTCTGTGTTGACATATAGGTGACAGCAGTGTGACATGTCTGTGTTGGTAGATAGGTGACAGCAGTGTGACATGTCTGTGTTGACATATAGGTGACAGCAGTGTGACATGTCTGTGTTGGTAGATAGGTGATCGCAGTGTGACATGTCTGTGTTGACATATAGGTGACATCAGTGTGACATGTCTGTGTTTGTATATAGGTGACAGCAGTGTGACATGTCTGTGTTGGTATATATGTGACACTGGTGTGACATGTCTGTGTTGACATATAGGTGACAGCAGTGTGGCATGTCTGTGTTGGTATATATGTGACATTGGTGTGACATGTCTGTGTTGACATATAGGTGACAGCAGTGTGACATGTCTGTGTTGGTATGTCAGGGACACTGGTGTTACATGTCTGTGTTGGTATAGGTGACAACAGTGTGACATGTCTGTGTTGGTATATAAGTGACAGCAGTGTGACATGTCTGTGTTGACATATAGATGACAACAGTGTGACATGTCTGTGTTGGTATGTCAGGGACACTGGTGTTACATGTCTGTGTTGGTACATAGGTGACAGTGACATTATATGTTTATATTGGTATACAGATAGCAGTGACATTATATGTTTATATTGGTATACAGGTGGCAGTGACATCATATGTTTCTATTGGTATATATGTGGCAGTGCCATTATATGTTTGTATTGGTATATAGGTGGCAGTGACATTATATATTTGGATTTGTATATAGCTGACAGTGACATTATAGGTTTATATTGGTATACAGGTGGCAGTGACATCATATGTTTGTATTGGTATATATGTGGCAGTGACATTATATGTTTGTATTGGTATAGAGTGAGTGAGTGAGTATTGTTTTACGCCGCTTTTAGCAATATTCCAGCAATATCACGGCGGGGGACGACAGAAATGGGCTTCACACATTGTACCCATGTCGGGAATCGAACCCGGGTCTTCGGCGTGACGAGCCAACGCTTTAACCACTAGGCTACCCGACCGCCCGTATTGGTATATAGGTGGCAGTGACATTATATATTTGGATTTGTATATAGATGACAGTGACATTATATGTTTATATTGGTATATAGGTGGCAGTGACATCATATGTTTATATTGGTATACAGGTGACAGTGACAGTATATGTTTATATTGGTATACAGGTGACAGTGACAGTATATGTATTTATCGGTATAAAGGTGAAAGCCACTGTTTGCCATTGTACCAGTAGAGCAGGACATGCTCACTTATTTCGGGAAAACCGTGTTTCATTACTGATTATCAGTGGTAATCAGTTTTTTTAATCAATTTTATGAGAAATGGAACCTGTTTCTGTGGAAAATCGAGACTGGCTATTCTCTGAGGTTGACGTTTTATATTTAATCAATGCCACAAGGACAAATCTGATTGCGCATACATCAGTGTCCTTATTATATATCTATGTGGAATGTCGCATTGAAACATAAAGGTTCACTTCATAATTGACATATACTTGTATGTACCAATACCTGTAAGGCTCGGTGATATTTCAGATGTCTTACTTCTGGTTTTGCAAACCTTGACTTTACATTACTGTTACTGAGCACATGGTATATATTTCTAAAATATACTGTTTGAGTTTTAATTAACTGTATTGATTGAACCATAGAAATAATGTACAGTATATTCACTATATACACTAAACAGATATATCCCTATAACGATGTAGATTCAAATAATAATAATCTGCATTGTTTGTGTGCTGTGCGTGATCCTTCTTACAGATCATCTTCGGCTACTCCCTCTATTCCTACCGACCCCCTAAGTACGGAGACTACATCTATCCTGCCTGGGCCACGGGACTTGGATGGATGATATCCTGTGCATCACTCATGCCATTACCTGTTGTCTTCATCTGGACGGTTTACAAAACAGAGGGAAATACAATCAAAGAGGTGAGACGACCTTTTGCATAATGTAATTCGGTGTTCCAGTGCATGGTCGGTTCTGTGTGAGAATTTGTGACTTCGCTGTTTGTGTGTCATGATTTCACGACGGTGTGTATCATGCTGGAATATTGCTGTCTTAGACGCTGAACGAAATCACTCACTCACTCAACTGTTTCCAACTAATATCACAAGTAAGACGAGGCATAAGATAAAGAAAACTGTTGTATTTATGGTGGATACATTGCTTTCAATTATGGTAGATTGTTGAGGGCAATAGAATCCTATAAAAAAAGTATGCAGGCGTGGCTGGTTGGTTGGTTGGTTGGTTGGTTGTTTAACGCCGCACTCAGCAATATTCCAGCTATATGACGGCGGTCTGTAATAATCGAGTCTGGACCAGACAATCCAGTGATTGATGTCATGAGCATCGATCCACGCAATTGGGATCGATGACATGCCTCAACCAAGTCAGCGAGCCTGACCACCCGATCCCGTTAGTCGCCTTTTACGACAAGCAGTCACCTTTTACGGCAAGCATGGGTTGCTGAAGACCTATTCTATCCCGGAATCTTCACGGGTCTGGTATGCAGGCGTGGTTTTGAGGGTGTTATTTATACATTTAATATTGTTATCATTGTTCTTATTTGTCATCCTTTCCTCTTATAAATATCGTGTTAATGCATCTATTTAATCCTAAATGTCTGTATGGACTGTTTATGTCTAATACATATCATTCTGTTTTTGTTTCCAGAAATTCAAGAAGTCGTTCGAACCGAAAACAAAGTGGGGACTTTCTTCGAATTCGTCTGCCTCAGATACTTCCCATGAGGACACAATGGAAACAATGCTATGATTCTATTATATTGTTCACGTTCGTGCACATATATACGGTCGTAAAGACGGTATGCAACAAATTAAAACAATTACTTGAAATGACAAGAAACGACGCTCAAATTAAAAGTATCATTGTATTCTGTAAATATCAGCATCTGGTGCTGCTATCACCGACACATGTACACTGATGGTTACAATGCCTCAAACAACAACATCGACTACCAAACACATCGTCATACTACAGTTGACGATGTAATAGCATATGTTTGTTTTGCATTATATTTCTTGAATTTAAGTTATTCACGCTTTTTTAAAGTTAATTGCACACAATTTCAACGAATATCGACGGAATTGTTTAAGGTCTCCATTTGTCTTAATTATGGAAGGGTATTCTATTCACTTGTATTATTTTATTGTCTTTGAATTTAAAACTTCAATAACTTAACACTATTATAGCGCTCACAGTTCGCATGTCCACTGTGTCACATACACTGAGATATCCATTCAAAATATGCTCTTTTTATCTGTTCACAATCGGCTATGGCCATCCGATGTCGAGTGCTGTGCTGTAAACCAAACTCTATGGTATGCTAGATGCTCCTCGTTATTCACCCAACCAAAAAAAGAAAAAATCGCAATTCTATTTTGTGCACGTGATATATGTATATACATAGGTTGTTTATTGTTCCATGTTACTTATAAGTCACAATTGTGTGTGTATGGGTACTTTTGGTCCGCCAGGAAGTCATACTTTTCAATTGCCATCTTGCAAAACAAAATCCCAGCCCCTCAACTTCTGTAAACGTTGGTAAAAGTATAAAGGCTTCACCAATCCAAGGGCTAATTTGTGTAAACGGCTTCACTAACAAGTGTGTAAATGTATCTAAAATCCAATAGCTGGAATAATTTCCTTGTTGATGTTTTCATGGAGATAAATGCGACACTTGAAAACAGATCCTGATATGTAAAATATCACATATATTGTACCTGAAATATCGCCACGCCTTTTTTTGCATCGCTGATTGGTTACTCGTTGGCCAATAACTGGGTCACCCACACGCAATTATGAATATTATGTAACAACATCAAACGAAGACAAGAGAAATAACATTTTCGATCACATCCGTTGTAGTAATACAATATTGAACAATGTTAACACAGAAATACCGATATTCATGATCTGATTAAAAAAAAGGTTTGGCCTCACGTCAATAATTTTCAAATGAAATACATTCCACGCAAGAAAACGATAGTGCGGATGTCCCCACTCTGGGGCATGCTCTTCAGCCATTAGATTTGTTTGTTTGTTCTCTAACGCCGAACTCAGCAATATTCAAGCTATATGACGGCGGTCTGTAAAATAATCGAGTCTGGACCAGACAATCCAGTGATTGACATCATGTGCATCGATCCACGCAATTGGGATCGATGACATGTATCAACCAAGTCAGCGAGCCTGACCACCCGATCGCGTTAGTCGCCTTTTGTGACAAGCATAGTCGCCTTTTACGGCAAGTATGGGTTGCTGAAGACCTATTCTACCCGGAATTTTCACGGGTCTCAGCCATAAGAAAATAATGTTACATGATTGACACTTGAAAGTATTTTGTATACGCAGCCTCGTGTCATCATGTAACTTTAGCGTATATGAAACAATCGGAATAATATGTGTTTGCCAAGTTTTCTGAAGACTTTTACTTTGCATTGGGTGCAGAGACGTAAAGCTGGAATAGTGATGAAGGCGGCGGTTTACAACAAACAAACAAACAAACAAACCATGATTGATTCAGGCTTGGTCGTTCCAGATGTTGCTTGATTCGGAAAGTTTCTTTAGGGCAGTATATAATAAGAGCGACATGAAGGCGACTCGAGGCCAGTTTCGATATGACTTGTTTCAAATCTGCTTGTCTTGCGCGGACTGGATACCCATTTGGAAAGCTAGCTGCTAGCTTACAACACTATTCTTTCTGGATTCAAGAACGCAAACAAGCCCATTTCACGTCATACAACAGTGACAATATTCAGAACATACGCTAGTGCACTAACACTGGGCTGTGATGTTTTATTGAGACTAGATAGTTTTTAATGATGTATCTTTTTGATAAACAACTTCTTTTTGGTTTTTCAACTGTCTGAAGAATACTTTTTGTTTTCAAGCATTGTCGGGGACAATATATTTGTTTTAAACTACCGTACACCTTCTAATGATTGTAAAGTTAAAAAATGTAAAAATTAAATAATGTAAAACTGACGTATCCTTGGATCATCGTCTACAAAACGTAATGAGTGAGTGAGTGAGTTAAAATTTTAAGTCACATCGGCAATATTTCAGCCATATCGTGACTAACAATGGTTAAATATAATACATATTTTGAAACTTATATAAAAACCTGCCAACAAGGGACAGTAAAATAACTAGACTTATCACAGAAATAAAGTTAAAACTAGTATGTAATCATAAAATCAATAGCACGATACAAAACTTTACATTATAAAAACGGGCTATAGATCGCCAGCAACTAAAGGTAGATCACCATGCTAGGGTCCATTGGGACTTACAACAAAACGTAATGAAAAAACAGAAGCATGTGGATGATATCCACAAAGTGTTATTAAATGAAACATAAGAAGCTACAAATAGAGAAAATGGCTTTTGTAATGAATAATATTAGACAGTATGACAATGGTTCTATGGTTCTCGTGGTTCTATGACGTCATGGCAAGTTGATACAAATCCCAATTTTAACCTAAAACATATGTTACTGTGATATTTCACGTTAACAGATGATTTGCATTTTCATATGTTTGCAACAGCTGCCACCAGTGGGGCGGGCCAAGGATACGCTCGCCCTGTCGCGACACCTTGCATAGTCACTATTCAATAGTGATAAACATATGCTCATAATATAGTGGAAATTGAACAGTGGACATTTCATGTGATTATGAACATGCTTTTGTCACTTCTATCATACATAGACCTCACTACTATTTGTCATCAACAAACAATCAAGATCATTTATTTATTAACAATGGGCTTCACACATTGTACCCATGTCGGGAATCGAACCCGGTTTGGGTATTGGTATAACTATAGCATCACACCATGAAGGAGGAGATTTCCCTGTCGTCCAAATTTCATCAAAAATAGACAAAAGTGTTTCTAAAGATGATTCTGGTAAGTACTTCAGGAGTTGATAATGAATGTTATCAGCTCCTGTAGCAGTATCGTGAGCTTGTCCAAGGGCAGTATGGCGTTCATAAATAGAGAATAGTTCATTATAATCTTCCCTGTTATCTGAATTAAAATTAATAGGTTTCTGAGTGTTAAGCTATGGTTTCACCAAGTTTATTTGCAATATCTGATTTATGAGTTAGTAAATGGTCCCCATTTCTAAAATGTATACAAGATTTTGTGCCCTGACCTTTGATTTTTTTGGATCCTGTTCAACACCTTGGACATGGGCGTTCTTGAATTTATTTTTGAAACATAATTTCGCCAAGATTGGCGTTTACTTTATTTAAATGTACGCTGTGCTTCTGCGTTTAAAATTTAAAATTAATTGAAGTTATGAACCATGGGTTGGCGGCAGAAATATCGCTCTGCCTTTTCCCTCGCCTTTCCGCTCGCTTGCAGTCATTGGCAAACCATTGTTTACATATATGAGGAATTCCAGAGGACTTTTAAACACATTCTTATTGTCTGATGTTTAGTTCATCTGAAGTTTTAAAGTAAGCTAGAGGGCCCTGGCTGTTTCTTCAGTTTCTTTTTCACTTTTTTCGATTAATGAAAATCTGATACTGGTTCTATTGTTTTATTTGAAGGCTGTGAAGGTTGTACAACCTCCGTTTGTGAATCTGATGTTGCGGTATCATGTTGAGATGTTTGAGCTGGAACATCTGTAGCATCCGCTGACCACCAATCCAGGAGATAGAAGGTTGGTTGGTTGGTTGGTTGGTTTGTTGTTTAACGCCGCACCAAGCAATATTCCAGCTATATGACGGCGGTCTGTAAATTATCATGTCTGGACCAGACACACCGGTGACTGGTATCATGAGCATCGATCAATGCAATTGGGATTGATGACATGCATCAACCAAGTCAGTGAGCCAGACCACCCGATCCCGTTAGTTGCCTTTTACGACAAGCATAGTCATCTTTTACGGCAAGCATGGGTTGCTGAAGACTATTCTACCCCGGAATCTTCACGGAACGATAGTAGGTTGGCATGATGTGGACACTGTGGCAATTTTGATAACAGGAATAGCAGTTACTGCAACTGAGTATGATTTAGATGAGGTATTTGGAGATTGTGACTAAACAATTTTTTTAGCTTCATGAAAAGAGATAGTGTTAGTGTGTTTGATTTTAAATATTTGTGATTGAAGAAGAAATGCTGGACAGAGTTCGACTGAAGCCAAATGGTCCCCCTTGCAATTGGTACATTTTATAGAAGCTATGCACTCTCATGTGACCCACTGCAGCGGGTATAGATTGTACTGATAGTGCAGGCCTTAGCACAGTGCCCAAATTGTTGACATTTGTAACATCGGTCAGGGATTGCAGTCTTCTTGCATACTATACAAGTTTGGAGCCATTACGCAGGCAGGAGACATTTTCTACTTTGCTACAACAACCACTGATGACCTTGGAGTGCGTGAGTTAAAATTATAAGTCACATCGGCAATATTTTAGCCAAATCGTGACTATCAAGGGTTAAACATAATAAATACATTGAGTCGTATATAAAATCCTGCCAACGAAGGACAGTAAAATAACTACACCTTTCACAGAAAAGGATTTAAAACTAGTATTGAATCATAAAATGGATAGCACTGTACAAAACAATACATTATACAATCGGGCTATAGATCGCCAGCAATTGGAAGTAGATCACCATCCATACTAGGGACCATGGGGACTTACAGTACTTTTGCTTCCTGCATGGACCCCAGCAGGATTTACATCATCCCTTCAAGTGTTGACGATTACTGATTAAGTTAGCCTAACATATTAAAATGACACATATTCTACGATTAAAACATGGTAGTTCTAAATTTACTTTGAAAGGTGTGAAACTTACGTATCCTCTCAGGAGGACAATAATTTATCAGTTATCTAGCAGTCTACATGGTAATACGCCTGGATCCAATGACGGTGGCGCTGGCAACTGCGGCACCATCCTTGGATCAATCTGTAAATATAGATTTGTATGTATTATATGTGCTTCGTAATTCATTGTATTGTTGTTGATAAATGAGTTGATTTCTATCAGATTTCATTAGTTTATTATATATTATACTCACCTCTTGTCTTACCAACTGTCATGGTAGTGACGACAGGAGTTTGGGGCTATATTTTCAAGATTAAGTTGAGAAGCAGAAATATGAGATTGTATTCTGATTCTTAGGGGTGGAGTAAGAGATAATTTTTTTGTTATAGAGATATGGAACGCCGTGATATAACTGGAATACTGTTGAAAGCGGCGTTAAACCAAACTCACTCACTCTTGATGTGGAGGATTAAAACACAATCGTAGGCTGGATTGGAATGATTTGAATGCAGTTTAGAAATATACTGTGAAGATAACTTAATGCGACGTTGTTTAAGCAATGGTTCATCAGCTCCTACATACAAGCTATTGAGAGGCCTTAGGATGATGAATACTATCTAATATACTCAACAACAAAAGTTCCCGTGGCACCAATATATAAGTGTATATTTCAAACAAGTAAAGTTTGTTTTTCAATATTGTAGTACATGTATGGAATCAAGTCACAAAAACGCAACTGCTACAGAAAAGCATGCATTCCATACAAAAGCTGACTTTTATGCAAGCCCCATGTGTTTCACTGCCCAAGAATGGGTATAAAAAAACATGTGCGTTAACGGGATTCCATATGCATTGTTTAGCATCGTGCTTACAACAACCACTCATAAAAGCTACAAAATTACGCAATTATTCCACATTACGAAATGCCACACCTGTCCGAAAATGAGCGTCTGCGAGCCATTGGTATGCTTGAAGCAGGATCGAGTCAACGTGATTTTGCAAGACACTTAAACGTCCACAGAAACACCATTTGGTGTTTATGGCAACGTTGGAAACAGACGCTTGCCGACGATACTACACTTATTAGCGCATCACCGAGAGACTTACAAACATCCCTTGATATTGTACATACATATGCCTCAAGGTGGCGCCTAACATATAAT